TCACTTGTGATGTCAGCATTGCTCCATGCTTATCGCTTTCGATTTTTTCCCCTTCTTGGAAATTATTCCGTCCGCTATGGAGTTTTATTACGTTGCGTAGAGAAAAATCAAAATGATTACAGATTTTCCCAAACAAGTAGCGCATCAGGAGTCCGAAGGCCCTCAAGTAGTACACACACACTGCGGGAGATAGAGACATTTAGAAGTAGCTCGACTGGTTGCACATGCCAATAGTCACGCTAGCTGGAAAAGTTACCGATGGCTGTTCCTCCTGATATCATGCTGACAGCAGAAACTGCATATCTGTTCAAGCCCGAAATAAATGAATTTCGGTGCTAGCCAGTTTTGCAAGAAGTGTGTCTTTCTTTTAGCAGCGAAATATAGCAATTTCCGTGCTGCTCTAGCATTGCTAACGTTACTGCAAATTCTTTCGGTTTTTATGCGTTTTTGCATGTATGCAAATTACAAAAACGCATATCGGCAAAAGGCTGTTCGTGTGTGTATGTGTGTCTGTGTGTTCGCACTTTTTGTCACCCACTTTCAATTCGAGAACCAGGGAAGCTAAAAGGCTGAAACTTTGGGGGAATGTTCCCTGTCCAAATACAACTCAAATATTTCAAATTCAGCCTTCAGGCATGCATAGTTTTCACGCACGAGCACGTGAAATATTTGACGGGGAAATTGCTGGCTCGATAACCAGAAGAGCTGGAAGGTTGAAATTTCAGGGGAATTCTCCATGTGCCACGTGCAATTTGAAGATTTCGAATTCAGTTTCCCAACTATCTGGGGTACCCAACTACGGGCATGTGAAAATTTTAGCCGGGAAATTAGTAACTTGGGAGCCAGAAAGGCTAGAAAGCTGAAATTTTAGGGGAACGTTCCCTTTCCAAACACGACTTAAAACTTTTGGCGGGAAAATAGCTCACTGAACAGCTAGGTTATTTTCAAGGAATGACCGCTAAATGGAAATTGTTCATTTATTTTATGCAAAATTTACGGTGATTTAAGCTAGTGAGCGCAAAAGGTAGGTGCAAGGAAACAACCATTCATGCAGTTAATGACCTAAGTACTTCAAGTCTAGTGCAAAAGCGCATGATCACACCGGTAAGCCTGTTGCGTTTCAATCTGGGTTTTATTCCCGAACTTGTCGCAGTCATTTGTAATGTCAAATTTTTGAACGGAGTTGAATGAGATCAGGAGCAGTAACCAGATGCTCAAAGCACCTAGTACACCCTATTACGCCATCATGTCGCTATGTTTTTTGTTTTCTTCTTCCGAAAACAGTTTTGTGCATCTGCACGAGTTCCACTTCTTGCTAGTTCCATTTCGAAATTAATAACATTTTTGATTTTGCCCTGGAATTGGCTGTGACAGTATTAAGTCCGAAAGAAGATCTGTGAATTTTGAATTTCAAACGCCTGAAGTAATGAAACTTTTGAGGAAGAGGTGATACAACCTGACAATAAGCTTAGATTACAGAACAAATTAAGTTGGAAGGCTATTTTTAGAAAAACACAGAAAATTAGAAAAAAAAACCTCGAAATTATTGAAATGTCACCAAAGAGAGAGGGAAAGAGACTGGCAGTGAAACACCCATGCGGTTTAAAGCACTTAAGTGTTTTGTTGCAGTGTTCTTGTGCAGGGTCATTTGAAATACGACTGGTTTCACTGACGCTTGGCTCGAAAAAGGATTTTCGGCCTGAATTCAGGATTTGCTTGAAGCAGTTCGAGAGGCGCATTAGCCATAATGGTGAATGTACATTCGGTGAAGTGACACTTGATGCAGAGCGCCTACGCAACAGCACCAAGATTGAGTTCCAGTTTGGCTGGCCGGTCTGTCCTCATTCTATTACTCATCTATTATTTGCTTTACACAGTTGCCAGGAATTACGGTGCTGAGGACAGTGGGCTCGTCCATTTAATTCGCAACTGCCTTGTGAACTATAAAAAGTTTTCAAAACGGAAACGGTGTTCTCA